ATTTGGAGAAATTTAGCATTACATCACTTGCTCACTAATGGATGTTCTGCAGTGAATGGGTGCCGTCAGAATGAGAGTCCAAACAGCAGATAAAAACATCACAATAATCCACAAGTAATCCACACGACTCCAGTCCTTCAGTTAACAACTTGTGAAGTAAAAAGTTGCATGTTTGTAAGAAACAAATGTGAATCTTTAAACTGTCACTTGTGGTGAAAATCCATAATAACACTTCTTCCAGTGAAAAAGTCCATCCCCTCTTGTCCTTTCACATCAAAATCCACCCACATATTTGTTTAGAGTGTTTTCACATGAAAACAGTTCTTGATTTGTTTATATTTCTCTCCTGACTCAGGCAAGATGACATTTACACTGGAGAAATCACTATCATGCATATAGGACTTGTGTAATGTCTTAATGATGGATTTGTTTCTTACAAACACACAATTGACGGACTGGAGTGGTGTGGATTTCTTGTGGATTATTGTGATGTTTTTATCAGCTGTTTGGACTCTCATTCTGACGGCACCCATTCACTGCAGAGCATCCATTGGTGAGTGATTTTCAATTTTTCTTTTTTGGGTAAACTATTCCTTTATTATAGAGAAACAAACTTTGAAACCACTGGAACTGCGTTTTGTTTTTTCCAATGACTTCTTAGATTGTTTACAGCCAATTCTTTCGACTCCATTGACGAAGATGCTTTTCAAGGCCTGCCACATCTGGAATATCTGTGAGTTTGATTTTCTATGTTTGAAAACGTCCTCATTCAGTCTTTTTAGATTACCACTCAGTTTCAATATAAATGCAACACTCTGTTTCAGATTTATTGAAAACAACAAAATCGAGTCGATTTCACCCCATGCCTTCAGAGGTTTGAAATCTCTCATTCACCTGTGAGTATATATACGTTTTTGAACTATAAAACTAGTGCTGTTAAACGATTAACCGCGATTAATCGCATCCAAAATAAAAGTTTTTGTTAATCGTTTGACAGCACTATATAAAACACAAATACATTATTAGAATATTTTATTTAATTAATTATTATTATGTACAGTATATATAGTGTATTTATTTTGTTCATGTTAATTGATGAAAATGTTTGTGCTCATGTTAGTTCACAACAATCAGTAAATGTTGAGATTAACATTAAGATTAATAAATAGTTTACAAGAATTGGTCTTAGTTCATGTTAATTAATGTAGTTAACTAATGTTAACAATAAAAAAGTCTAATTGTAAAGTGTTACCTAATCGTTTTTGTTTGTTAGGAGTCTTGCCTACAATAATCTTGAGACGCTGCCCAAAGATATTTTCAAAGGAATAGATGCCTTAACAAAAGTGTATGTATTTTACAGCACATGTCTACCTTTCTTGTTATGTAATATACAAGAATATAATCTGTAAATTCACTGAGCAGGGATCTCAGAGGAAACATGTTCAATTGTGACTGTAAGTTGAAGTGGCTGGTGGAATGGATGTACAGCACTAATGCAACGGTGGATCAGTTATACTGCAGTGGGCCTCCACCCTATCAAGGGAAGAAGATAAATGACCTGGTGCCTCAGTCGTTTGACTGCATTACAGCAGGTAATTGTGCACTAGACTCTCCTGAGTACAACAGATTCTAGCTTTGAAATAAGCTGATCCTATATGCCTGCAGAAATGCTTAGAAATGCATTATGTATAAATTAAAGCAATTCAGAAACAAAGTATTACATATTTACCTTAAAAAGTAGTCTACATTACACAACATTCATCATTTATGGTCATTTTTTTCTGAATGAGAAAGAATGTAAATTTCAAACGTGTAAAAACTTTTAGAAGTACAAAAGTATGTAGCTATCAAAATAACTTCAAATAGTGTCAGGCCAAAAAGTTTTTTAATGGCCCTTTGGTAATAATGAACATTTTGGAACTAAACCAACTTTAGCTAAACCAAAATCATAAAAAAACAAAACATGTTTGTTATTTGAAATAAAATAAAATATTACAAACTTAAACTTTTAGTAACATTTAATAACAGTTGATAACAGTTGATACATTAATAGTCCAATGATCTCAAAATGGCTAAATATAAATGATAAATTGGCCAGGCTAATATATTGTCCATTAGCCTCAAAGCTAACAAAAATGTCAATTAAAGTCAATTGTATTTGTATAGCCTTTCACAATACACACACACATAAATAATGATGTTAATATTTATAATAACTTATTTCACAATTGTCCACATTTAGCAGTTTAGAACTGGGTGACTGGATTGTTAGCATGGTGACAATATAAACAATCAAATTGTTGAGATTTGCTATATAATATATATGTGAGTGCACTGATTGAATGTGGATAGCGCAGGAATATATTTATGGAAATCTGTAAGAAAGGTTTGAAATATGATTTGGCCATCAAATCTTATGAAAAATGAATCGTTGTTTGTTTGTTGCAGAGTTTACTTTAAAGAAAACCCTTGCATTTGAGTCCATATCTGTGGAGGCCTTTACGTTTGGGAATGATCAGTATGTCGTATACGCCCAGCCTTTCTCTGGAAAATGCAGCTTTATGGAATGGGACCACGTCAACATGGAGTTCAGAGCTTATGACACCATAGAGAGTGAGCATCACACATCACACCTCCTACCCAGAGTGCAATGGTGCTCTGGTCTGAATCCCCCAATTGCAGAGCCACAAAAACTGGTTATTTAATGCAGAGACTGATTGACTGAATTGATTTTTAATGGCATTTCTGTGGTTGTCATTACAGGCACTTCCACGGTAGTGTGCAAGCCAATGGTCATCGATAACCACCTCTTCATCATAGTCGCCCAACTTTTCGGTGGCTCTCACATCTACAAAATGGACATCTCTGCCAACAAATTCATCAAAATCCAGGACATCGACTTCCTGAAAATCAGAAAACCCAACGACATCGAGATGTTCCGTGTGGACGGCGAGTTCTTCTTCGTGATAGCGGACAGCTCGAAGGCCGGCTCCACCACGGTGTACAAGTGGAACGGCAATGGCTTCTACTCTCACCAGTCTCTCCATCCCTGGTACCGTGACACTGACGTGGAGTATCTGGATATCGCAGGCAAACCCCACCTTATTTTGTCTAGCAGCTCGCAGCGGCCCGTTATCTACCAGTGGAGCAGAAGCCAGAAGCAGTTCGACAGACGGACGGACATTCCAGAGATGGAGGACGTCTACGCCGTCAAGCACTTCAAGGTGAAGGGGGAGCTGTTTGTCTGTCTGACGCGCTTCATCGGCGACTCCAAGGTGATGAAGTGGGATGGCTCTATGTTCACAGAGATACAGACAATGCCCTCGCGGGGATCCATGGTCTTCCAGCCCGTCTCCATCGGCAACTGGCAGTACGCCATCCTAGGCAGCGACTACTCGCTAACCCAGGTCTATCAGTGGGACACCAAGAAGGGCCAGTTTGTACACTTCCAGGAGCTCAACGTCCAGGCGCCCAGAGCGTTCTCGCTGGTGTCCATTGACAACCGAGAGTTCCTGCTGGCGTCCAGCTTTAAAGGGAAGACACAGATCTACGAGCACTTGATGATCGACCTAAGCAGTTAGGGTGCCGAGAAGCACAGAGAACCAGACCCTGACACAGTCGAGCCTATTGTGAAACTACATGCATGATCTAGCCTAGCCCTAATAATAGTAATAATTCCAGATGAATGCCTCTCTAGAAACGCCCTTTGTGTCTTTTTCTCTGTTGTCACCATCTGCTCTGCACTTTTCATTTTTCCTGTCCTTTTTGTCCCTTTCAACAAAAGCTGTTGTTAACATATTCTCATGCTTGCCGTGTAGTCACTAAAGAGGTATAATAAGAAAACAACAAAGGTCAAATCAGTTAACTGTTGACTTAGTAACAACCTGCCAAATAAACTGTTTACATTTTTACGGTGATGTAAAAAGCCATTTTTAACTTTTTTAAACAAAATCGACCAGTTTAACCACATTGGGTGTGATAGATTTGAAGTTTGTTTTTGACTCAGTTTCTTTTAATAATCGGATTGCAATAAACCTAGACTTAGATTTCAGTTATTGAGGTAAAGTAAATGTGGGAAGGAAGGTTAGTTGTTTACTGGTACTTGTTTTTGTTAGAACTAATAAAACCTTAAAAAAATACGAGCCTGCTTTGTCGTGATGCATGGATTTTACGTGAAAGCGTGAATCTAATGGCTGAAACCTGTCACAAAAACAAAAACCTTCCTCTTATCAGAAGTAACCCACTGAGCAAAGGTACGTCCAAACGACGTCATTTCAACGTCTTTTTCGGACGTTGAAATGACGTCCCCTGAAGAGCCAGAATGAAAGTTTTTAGAAATAGACACATTTTAAATATTTAAATATTACACTATTTGAACACCTACATGTTTCATAAAAAATAGACGTGATGTTTAATTTTTTTTTTAAATCAGAACTCACAGGATTGTTTTGTCATGTTTATTTGTATAAAAAGTTCTTACGTCACTTTCCTGAACCTGTTCTGCACGTTGTACAGACGTCCAAAAAAAACTCCTAGTCAGACGTTCAAATTTTGAACTGCATTTCTACGTCCAAGGGACGTCGTAGTCAGACGTCCAGATACCACCGGATTTGCACGTCGATTAGACGTACAGATACGGTCCTGGACCAACCGACGCAATATAGACATGATCTGCACGTCGGGCCGACGTCCCATGTTTGTTGGGAAGAAAGAGCTTTATTACCAAGTATGTTTACACACACAAGGAATCTGAGTTGACGACAGGAACAAAAAATGTTCCTAAATGCTTTGTTTTCATTTAGCTAAATATTATTTGGTGAAATATGAACTAAACGCCAAGACTCATGAGAATATCTCATGACATCGGCATACAAGTACATGTGTGTGATTCTTTATTCTCTGGATTCAAACGCTGTGAAACGGCATTGTCGTCCAACCTCTCTTCAAACGCATTTTGTCTTCCTCCAGCGGCAGAGGAACGCAACCACCTCTTTCTTTGTACAAGGTTAATTATTTAACTTGTTGCTCGGTACCATTTCTACCCGAAGGCAACCGTGTGTCAAGACGCGTGGTCAAGGTATGCCAAGCAGCTGTTGTCCTCTGTCATGGGTGATATTAGACAGCGCAATGGCTCTGTGAGTAATAATGACACAGATTTATCTGTTGTCCCTTATAGAGCGGACGACATCAGGGTGCTTTGTCATAAAGTTGACGTTGGGGAGGAAACTGAGTTGCAAACTCGATCAGAAGTGCCAGTGGACGCGGATGCTGACGCAGTTGGCCCGGTGTTTTACCGGGTTTGTTTGCCGGGTTGCTGTAAGAGAAACGACCCTGACCGCGATGAGGATGATGATGGTGAGGAGGACACGGGGGCAAACGCAGTTCAAAAAGGTAAACTGAGCTTAACTGTTACACGATCGGAAGATATCATTTATTAAAGACCTATGGATCCTGAATTTGATCTCCGATTGATCTGTTTCTGTTGTTTCTATTTCTACACCTGTGTGTCCTCTATGACACTTTCAGTGTTACAGTTATGAAGAGCAGTTACGTTCACCATAGTAACCATGGGTAATACTGCTATTACTATAACTATTGATACTACTATAATAAATCTACGATAACTTGGTATTATAGCAACCTGACATAAATAAATAATGAAATAAATATTTAAAAAAAGACTGATCTTTTCTTAAACTGTTAAAACAAGGAAACCCCATATTCATTTACCATGACTTTAGAGATTTAATAATAGCTGTAGTAGCTATGACAAATCCCTTATGCAATTTAACCATGGTTTTATTGTAGTAAAAGTGTAGTAACCATGTTTTTTGGTGTATTGATTTCTAAATTTGTCAGCTTTACTACAAGTACCATGGTTAAACTATGGTTAGTGTAGCAAAACCATGATTGATTTGTTGTTACTATGTTTTAGCTATAGAAACCATGTTTTTTTGTTTTGTTTTTTTTGTAGTTAAACCTTGGCTAATTTTCATAAGGGATGACAGGGTGGCCATGGTAACTTCTAAGAGTTTATTCTGTAAAAGCTGACAAGAACAGTTACGTTGTATCAAACCTGTTACATACCGTGGTTACCATCACTTCATCTTTAAAATTCCATCAATACTACTGTTATTACCTGTAGTAAATGTGGAATAAATGGCAGGGTTACCATTGGTAACTTTTTCTATAAAAGCTAACAAGAACAGTTACATTTTATCAAGCCCCTTACATACAGTAACCATGCTTTCCACTTTTAAGTACAACAGATAAACTACAATAAAGCTATGGTAACTTGGTATTAGAAACCTACCATTAATGATTTGACATGACTTTGCAGATTTGTATCAAACCTCTAACACACATTCAACCTGGTAACCCTTGTATCTTTTTTAAGAGTACCATTGATACTACAGTAAATCTGTGGTGGTAACTTTGTATTAGCCATCAAAAATTAAACATAAGTAAATCAGATTTTACCAACACAACATATTTCTGATTGTTTTGAATGTGATCGCTTATCAATTTATAGCGATTTTACAGTAACTAAATATTAACTGTAGTAACTGAGGGATAAATGACAGTTACCATGGTAACTTCTTTTCATAAAAGCTGACAGAACAGTTACATTGTATCAAGCCCCTTACACACAGTTACCACAGTAACCATTGTTTCCGCTTTTAAAATATACTGTGGTTACTTATAGCCACCTGTTAACCAAAAATAAAGTTTTTACAGTTATTATTTCTACCGTTCAATTCTTATAAATGAATATGAGATTTATTTGTGCATTTTGATTACAGTGGTGGCTAATTTACCGCAATTGTGTGTACTGCAACACAATAAAGTACAACAGGTCCCGTCCACTTTTCAGTAGTCTTGGTTTTGGAAATTTAAGAAGTCTGTCTTTAGAGGTTTAGAAGTTCAGTGTTTAAAAATCGGTTTCCCAATGGAGAAATGATGGGACTTTTACTCCCGGAACCCAACTGTATCGCTCTGTTGTAGGAAACTGCTTACCATGGTAACATTTGAAAGGGGAACACTTACACTGTATCAGACTTGGCTGTTTTTCATACTATATTTGTAAATGAGATTTTGTATGACCAGGCAAGTACATTCTTAAAAAACACGATAGAAGCTTGCTACAGTGATGATAGCCAATTGTATTACCATACTTTGATATATTGTACACCATGGTACTAAATGATTACCATATTCAAGTATCATGGTTGTCATCTAGTCTCTTACAAAAAAGGAAATAGAAAATGACATATTTTCACATGGAGAGGTTAACCAGTTGTTTTAACTCAAACCCGTATTGTTGGGTATGTGTTATGTTCCAGGGCCCATGATCTATGTGTGAGGCCAGGTCCTCAAGAGACATTTGATACAGTTTGGCGTTTGTTCAATGTTGACAACAACCACACAACCTGATTGAGCATGAGCCCAGCTCACCGACAGGTAGTGAAGTTGCGTTTGGTTGCGTAATCCTTGCCGTCACATTTGATATCACTTCAGTGTCAAAGTTAAACAGAATCACCAACAGTGTGTTGAGATTCATGCTGTTTTGCTCCCGCCATCTCATTCCACACCAAGATCAAAATTCAGATCACACCCCACAAAGCCAAATCATGCTGCGTACTTCTCATGACTCATTTCCATCATTTGTGCAAAAAGTTTGTCTAAAAAAAAACTGGTGCTAAAGTGCTTTCATATGGTGCTCCAGTGAATAAACATTACCTTAAAGGGGTGGTTCATTGCGATTTCACTTTTTTAACGTTAGTTAGTGTGTAATGTTGCTGTTTGAGCATAAACAATATCTGCAAAGTTACGAAGCTGAAAGCTCAATGCAAACGGAGATATCGTCTTTTAAAATTCTGGCAGTTTAATGCCTACAAAAACGGCTCGTAGGGACTACAACAAGTTACTTCCCGGGTTCGTGACATCACAAACCTAGATAAACCCCGCCCTCGGGAAAAGGCAGCAAAGGGGGCGAGGCCATGCTGCGCTGCTTTAGAGAAGAGGAAGAGAAAACTAGAGGTGCACGTAACAATCTATTCATATATGAATCGCGATTCTGTCTTCTAACTATTCTAATGGATTCACACGTTTCAAAATCAGTTTTCTAAAGCAGCGGTTCTCAATACTGTTCCTCGTGTCCCCCTGCTCTGCACACGCTCTGCATCTCTCTCGCTCTCGCTCTCTCTCTCTCTCTCATTCAGCTCACCTCCAACAATGAACTGTTACAATTATACACTTATTTTCACATAGCTATGAGAAGCGTTATACTTGGACACGCGTGCAGTTGCCGTACTGTATTAAAGCTTTAATAAGGATAAAACCGTATATCCAATAGAGGCGGTTTAGCCAATCACAGCACACTGGGCTAGCTAACCAATCAGAGCCCATCACCTATTTCTGAGGGCGGGGCTTCATAAAAACAGGAAAAGATCAGCGCGTTTCTCAGAGAAGGGACAGAGCTGTGTGGAATAAAGGTCAATTCTGTGGAAAATAATGCGTTTTTTTTTTTTAAACGAAGCATTAACACAATCAAGCCTAGAAAAAAACCCAGTGAACCACCCCTTTAAGAAAATTGACCATGGTTTTATTATAGTAAAAGTGTAGTCGTAACCATGGTTTTTTGACCATGTGTTGATGTTTATTACCATTGGTATAACCACAGTTTTACTACAAATACCTAAACTATGGTTAGTGTAGCAAAACCATGGTTAATTTGTGGTTACGATGGTTTATCAATAGTAACCATGGTTAATTTTCGTTAGAGTTGTGGAAAATGTCAATTTACCATGTAATTTGGTACAGTTTTATATAAAAAGAATTAAAAAAAAAATCTAAAATGTCTCTTGAACTTGATGTAAATTTAAAATAATGAATTTTCCCACCATTGGAGCAATTTAAGCTTGAAGTACCTAAATGCAAAGGATATTGTTGTGAATTCTGCTGTCAGTAAAAAAAATGAAGGTTTGAAAGAACTTACAGAAATTAAAATTCCAGTTTTGCAATTCAGTAAATTTCTTTTCCTGTCATTCTAATTTTCCCTTCTGTGGTTGGTGGCCAAATTTAAATTCACACTCAGGAATTGAAAAGGAACAAGTTCTTCAAATCTGAATTTTGCTCAACCTTGGTCACAAGGATAATTTACTTGAATCGTCGGCATTTAGTGGCTTTTCTCAGCAAATATTTATTTATGCAGTCAAAACTAATAATTATTCAGCATACCATCTGATTTATGTGTAATTGACTAACAGGTGTGATGTTAAGCTGTTTTGTTCTATTCATCCACAGAAAAGAAACCAGCATGTCCAGGGCTGGGCCTCCTGTACACCTTGTTAGCATCCGTCTTCTTCTCTGCTGCCGCTCTTCTTGTGAAGAAAATTGAGGGGATGCACGCCATAGAAATCAGTGCAATTCGGTGCTTCTTCCAGATGCTGTTTGTCATGCCAGCCATGATATATTACAAGTATGAATCTATCATATGAGTATAAATTTATGATATATTACATGTATAATTCTGATATATTACAAGAATCTATGAAACAAGTATGAATCTGTTATGGTACAAGTATGAATCTATAATACAAGTATAAATCTGATATATTACAAGAATCTATAGTACAAGTATGAATCTATAATACAAGTAAGAATCTGATATATTACAATTAAGAATCTATAATAGAAGTTTGAATGTATAATGCAAGTACGAATCTGGTAAATTACAAGTAAGACTATTTAATACAAGTATGATAGTATAAAACAAATATAAATCTGATGTATTACAAGTAAGAATATATAATACAAGTATGAATTTAGAATACAAGTATGACTGATATATTACAAGTTTGAATGTGTAATACAAGTACAAATCTGTTATATTACAAGTAAGAATCTATAGTACAAGTAGGAATGTATAATAAAAGTATGAATCTGATATATTACAAGAAGATATAATACAAGTATGATAGTATAAAACAAATATAAATCTAATGTATTAAAAAGTAAAAATATATAATAAAAGTATGAATTTGTAATACAAGTATGAATCTGATATATTACAAGTTTGAATGTATAATACAAGTACGAATCTGATATATTACAAGTAAGAATCCATAGTACAAATATTAATGTATTACAAATACAATATGATATATTACAAGAATCTACAAGTATGAATCTGATGTTACAAGTTTGAATCTAAAATACAGATATGAATCTGATATATTACAAAAATCTATATCTATCTTAAATGATACAAGACTCTATATCTATCTTATATGATACAAGACTCTATAATACGAGTATGAATCTGATATATTAAGACTTTATAATACAAGTATGGATCTGATATCTTACAAGTAAGGCTTTATAATACAAGTATGAATCTGATACATTAAAAGAATCCATAAAACAAGTATAAATCTGATTAATTGTCAAGTAAGTATCAATCTATACTACTACTTTTGAATGTGTAATATATTCCAAGTATCAATCTCTTCACCCTGTAGTTGGATTCAATATTAATTTGACTCCACAATGTGGGAATAACCTACAACCTTTATTTTTTCAGTACTGGTTTTTTGGGACCTAGAGGTATGCGAATCTACCTGTTCTTCAGAGGGTTCCTGGGCTCCAGCGCCATGATATTGTTGTATTATGCAGTTCTGCAGATGCCCCTAGCGGATGCCACAGTTATAATGTTCAGTAATCCAGTCTTCACATCCTTGCTGGCTTGGATTTTCCTCAAGGAGAGGTTCACCATATGGGACGTTGTTTTTACCATGTTTACGCTCACCGGCGTCATACTGATAGCCAGACCTCCCTTCCTCTTTGGTGGAAAGCTGTCTGGGATCGAAGGAGACTACACCAATCACATCAAAGGCACGGTGGCTGCCTTCACAGGGGCGATCGGAGCGGCTTGCACTATGGTCATTCTGAGAAAAATAGGGAAAAGTGTTCATTACTACCTCTCTGTGTGGTACTATGCAGTCCTGGGACTCATCGAGTGTGTCATTGTTTTGTTCATCTTGGACGAATGGACCATTCCATTCTGCGGCTGGGACAGGTGGACGCTCATGGCCATCGGGCTGCTCGGTATTGCCGGCCAGACGTTCCTTACCAAAGCCCTGCAGATTGAGAAAGCAGGACCTGTTGCACTGATGAGGACGATGGATGTGGTCCTGGCGTTCATTCTGCAGTTCCTATTCCTCAACCGCAAACCGACATTGTGGAGTCTGGGAGGAGCGCTGTGTGTGATTAGCAGCACTAGTGGGGTGGCCATAAGGAAGTGGTATAACAGCACAAAAAATAAGAGCTGATTGCTTATTATAGTGAGACGGAAAAAAAACATTTTATATGTTTGCTACAAATAATTGCTGCATTAGATACCAAAGAAGCTGTATTACTGTAATAATTTACATCGAAAGTCTGAGATTTTTTCTTTGGTCTTTGATTTTAGGACCTTACTGTATGCAGTATGTACAGTATATGACAGTATTTTTAGCGGTTTTGTAGTTTCTTAAAGTCAATATTCTTTAGTGAAGACAACAGATATTTTTTAATCAAGATACTACTGTTGAGACAGTAGTACTGTCTTATCATATAGAGAGTATAGTAGACAACATAATAATCGACTGCTGGTCATGTGCAGTCGATTATTATTGATGTGTGTAAAAATCCCTAAAAATGTCAATTCCATCATTTACTCACCCTCATGCCGTTGCAAAGCAGTATGATTTTTTCCATGGAACATAAAAGGAGATTTTTTGATTCTCGGAGTCACTCTTTTGCATACATTCCATACGTATTCCATGATTTATAATCTTTTGAAATCCATGCTAAATGACTGCAATGAAAAAATGGGGGAAGAAACACCATAAAATGAGTACATATGGCGTTAATACTATATTTCTATATAGTATATACTATATGTATACTATGTATATACTATATACTATATATAAGTCACATGGTAGATTTTGTATGAGGACAACACTGAAATTGAAGTAGTTATTTCCTGAAAATCTTCTTTAGCTCCGTTCGTCATCATCCACTTGACGTGAATGATGCCAAATGTCATTTTTTGTTGCATCCTATTCACTTTCATTGTATGGAAAAGAGCAGGGTGAACATTCTGCGAAATATCTGCATTTTTCCTCCATGGAAGGACGTTTGGAACAACACAAGGATAAGTAAATAAATGAGGACAGGATTTTTGTGTATTGGGGCAAACTATCCCTTTAAAACCTTTTGCACTTTGTTGTTGACAATGTACTGTAACTGGTATTACTTTTAAAAGGAAAACACAGGGTCAACAGTATGTCTCCAAATTTTTTTGCCTTCGTTTTGTTAAGTTCTGAGTTGTATGTGCTTAAATATGCAATCAGTAATATGTTCTGAACCTTGATGAACCACTTGAACTCTGTCCTTATGTACCTTAGACATACGCATAGGTTTGCTTCACAAATATTTGCCTGATATAGAGTGAGTCATACTTATTTATTTATCGGACGTGTGTCTTGGTGCAAAGATGAGTTATTGTGAGTTGTTACAAGAGGCCGTGACTATCAGTAATGGCTGTTCTTCTGCAGTTCAGTCACTCTGAAATGGGTCTCTTCAGTTTGTTTTCCCTTCACATTTATTTAATTTGATCATTTTATTTAAACCTGTTTGTGTAAACTGACCTAAAAGCACTTTACACTGACTTGTTGTGTCAGTTTATCTTTATTAAAAGCACTATTAACGGTTTACTGATACTTCACCAGCAATTTATGGACATATGGATATATATATTTTTTTAATCTGATGACATTTCTGTTAATAATCCATTAATGTAAGAGCAGATCCCTCCATATTATTTATTGAAGAAGGTTGTCGATTTGAATAATGCCTGCTGTAGATTTCACCTTGCATATTTATATGACTTCTGAGCTTTAGTACTTGAAATAAATGAAAGCTTCTTACCTCGCTGAGTACAGTGTCTTTTTTTCTGGAAGTACTAAGCAAGAATTTAAATGTGTAGGCTAAAATGTGGCAATCGTGATTCTCACGTCTGCCAAGAAGGATTATAGCTGCATTCTTGTGGATTTTCTGTTCTTTCTCTCATTATTTTGTGATTTTACACCTTAGACAGGATAATTTTAATCGCATGCTTCATGCTTTGTGTATATATTTAAGGATGCTCTGTTAAATGCAATACACAGCAGACAGCACCATTTAAAGGAATATTTCCTAAAAATGAAAATTTGCTTAAGATTTACTCGGGCCATCCAAGATGTAGATGAGTTTTTCATAACAATCAATTTGGAGAAATTAAGCATTACATCACTAGCTCACCAATCATGGATCCTCTGCAGTGAATGGGTGCCGTTACAATAATCTACACGACTCCAGTCAATCAATGTCTTGTGAAGTAAAAAGCTGTGTTTATAAGAAACAAATCCATCATTAAGGCATTGTAACTTGAATCGACTGTAATTTTATCAGCTGTTTGGACTCTCATTCTGATGGCACCCATTCACTGCAGAGGTTTCATTGGTGAGCAAGGGATTAAATGATAAATGTCTCCAAATCTGTTCTGATAAAGAAAGAAATGTGCAAGTTTACTTCTTGAATGGCCTGAGGGAGTAAATGTTGAGCAAATTTTCATTTTTGGGTGAACTATTCCTTTAAGATTTAATTTGAGTGGTTTTCTGTCCATCATCCAGGGCTTGTTTGCCTTCTGCCTTCTAACAGGAACAAACTGTTTTGCCCCCTATCCTCAAACAAATGGCCCCAGACTGTTTGGTAAGTAACACTACACATGAACAGCCTGTTCCAATGCAGTACATTTACATAGTCAACAGATAACAGCAGCAGGCTTTAATGATTGATCAACACAGATTCAATAAACACACATGGAAAACCCTCTAATTAAGGCTTTGGCTATTTCAGTTACACCCTTTAATCTCCTCAAACAAACATTTTTAGAAAAATCGGTTGTACCCAACTCCTTTTTTTTTTAAATATACAACCGTTTACAGAAGATACGGGAATCAGTTTGCTTTTTATAACTAAATAGATAACCTTGCTTAAAATGTATTATTCATTCGGACTTTTATTGCATTTTTCCTCACTAAAAATTGACTTTGGATAAGAATGCCAGTGTAAATCTACTATGAAAAACTTAGCTTTGGATAAAAGTGTCTGCTATAGATGAATAAAAATGTAAAAGCAAATATGCACAACAAACAGGTATTTTATAGGGTTTGGTCAAAATATGCTACATATTTGCTATCGTTGTGCACCATTCAGAACTGAATTGAGAATGCCTTTAAAGATTCTTAAATATGTAGCAAACAGGACTAAAGACTAATTTGATTTACATTGCAATGAAGCAGGATTAAAATGCAATGCATTTCAAAGACAATACCTTTAAAATCTAAAGTTTAGATTCTTGCCAATTATTTTAAAAGCATATATTGCCCCACAACATGTTGTTCATTATAATATATATTGTACATGTTCATTTTCATAATCATCATAGTAGATCGGTACACTGAAAAAATTGATGCATAAAAAAATGTACTCAGAAATAATTAAACACACTGCAATAAAAGTACATTTAAAAAGATGAAAATAGTATTTACTTGTAAAATGTACTCCAATAATATTTTTTGTTATTTACAGTTTCGAAAAATAATTTTTGCAGTGTATTAAAAAGAACAGTATGAAGGAATTTTGACATTTTCTAATGTTTATTATAAGTACATTTGTGTGGTTATAGCTCAGTATATTAAGTAATAGATTTAAATGTGATGATGGCAACATTTTTTTGTCAACAGTTTCATCTTAATCTCTAATTATTTGAGAACATCTATTAGAATGTATCAGAATATTGTTTATATTTTGTCTAATTATTTGCTTTATTCGAATTATTTATAGTTGGTTTGAATTTTGTCCAACCCTGATGTTTGTTACATGTCAAGCATTCATTAAAAAAGCAGTCCAAACTATCAATGAAGTAAAAAAATAAATAAAAAATCACATTCTGCCACATGGAAACTGCAAGTCAGAGAAATTATATAATGGATTATACATCATAACATTTGCGCAAAAGAACATAACGGATGTTAACAGATATAAACAAATAATTAGAACGTGGATAAACAAACATGTTTATTGTTTAAATTTGATTACATAAAAGTGCTTAGTCACTCTTTAGTGAACATTTTCAAAACGGTTTTGTCAGCATCCATTTATTTTTCTAGTCGTCAGTTGACGTTACTATCCAGTAGAGGGCGGCAGTGTAATACAGATCACGAGGAGCCAATGACAGGTTTAGATCAACACCATCTTTAATTGTTGAGACTTCAGTTCATGGAAACCTTCACTTTCAGGTGTTTAGATAGAAAGACCAAACAAAAAGCCCCCAGAGTGACAGATTATGAAGTTCCACCAGAATAGCAAACACTTTTGTACAAACCTGTGACAGTCTTATTTTAATACAATTGCATGAAGCCTTGTTTAATAGTCTCATCTTAAAATATTATCAAAAACCTGAGCTAAAACCACACAATTATGTCTGCATAGTTGTGCATCAAGCGCTAGTCGTGGAAACATGAGTGATCAGAAATTATTGCATGAAAGCCAAAAACTGAATCACAAAAAACTGTCATAGTGAACTGCAACATACAAAGGCTTACTTGTGTGGTTTTCTAAATGAATTGCAACTGGAAAGCAACAGTTCCACATGCTGTAGGATTACATGTGACAGATTGACTGGGAGTGGAAGAATTGCGCATTCTTTTTGGATGGCATAAGAGTTCCCTCCTTGTGGACTAAGAATCGGAAAAATCATTGCTATTCTGCCAAGAATACAAACACATAGTTAAAGTAAATATGCATTGGCATATTTCTATATGATCATTTGCCTAATAACCCATTTTATTTTCCCTTGGGTTATTTTTTGAAAGATTGAGTAGTGTATGGTGGGAGGAGCTGGATACAAACCCCTCTGTTTGGACTGTATTAGGTGTGGATTACCACTGCATGCATAAACAAAGCATAACAAACATGAAGAAAAAAGAATAAACTAGCACAATACAAAATCATGAACATGTGTTTACTACATGAAAACATCTGGCTTCATTCTGTGATCTTATTCATCCAATAAAGCAATGGTATAATTAATCTAGTTTGGGACAACAGGAAATCAAACAATGTTATCAATTCGGCAAAAGGAAATAACCTTCAGATGTAGCCAAAACCAGATACTCTCCATGCAGCATTCCCACGAGTGCAATGGTACTTCACTAATTGTAGTTTACCGTGCTTTAATAATACAATAAGCCCAGTGAAGCCGTGGTTTACAGTGGATTAAACCACGGCTTCACGGGGCTTATTGCTTTTATAAAACGGTTATTCCATATATGTAGCAAGGTTTCACTAAATAAAACAAAGCAAATAAAATGTAATGATATTAATTAAAACATTATTCTTCCGCCAAACAATGTAGTTCCTCAGAAACGGTTGTGGTTGCAACAAAGTGGTTGCCGAGCAACACACAGACATAAACAAAGGTGTAATTTAACACAGCTTCGAACGCAGCTCAGCCAATCAGAATCAAGGACCGGAACTATACGTTTTATAAAGAACGGTATACCATGGTACTATAAAAGTAAATAAATATATAAATAAAAATACCATTTAATACTATTTCAATTGTCAAACAATGTGGTATTAATATGATATTGTGTCGCATATGGCTTAGTATTGAGTAATTTACAAATTAGACAGTCGTTTTGTCTGTTTTTGCTCCACAAATGAAAATAATTCTATTTGGAATAGATACACACAATGGAGGCGTTATTTCAAAACTCAGTGTTTTAAATGAATTGATTGAATGATTCAATGACTCACTGATAAATACAATCACTTGTCGCCACCTGCTGGTGTATTTTGTCTGTTTTTGCTCCACCAATGAAAATAGTCCTAGAAGTCAAAACAGGATCAACTGTTTTACATAGATCAGTGGAATGAATGATTCAATGACTCATTCATAAATACAATCACTTGTTGCCACCTACTGGCATAATATCTCTTGGAAAACAGCTTGGCCAATCGCATTTGATGATGAAATAAAGTACAGTGTAAATATTAATATTTTAAGTGATATCTAATATACATCACTACCATATCATGTAGTAATTTGGATGTTTTTGCTCCACCAGTGAAAATAGTCCCAAAAGCTGAAAGAGGATCAATGGTTAATCAACAAGTTGTCCGTCTCCAAACAAAATAATAGCGTGACTGAATGAATCAGCGTTTTGAATGAATTGATTGATTGAATGAATGATTCAGTGACTCACTCATACAGTCTCTGGCATAATGTTGTAACCTGCAGAAAGGATCACTCACAATCCCTATCACACATCAGAACTCTTGGAAGACTGCTTAGCTAATCAAATTTGAAGATGAATCTATGTGCTGAGTAAATATTCATATTTTATGTGATATCTGATACACACGACTGTCATATTATTAATTAGTATTTTGTCCATTTTTGCTCCACCAATGAAAATAGTCCCAAAAGTCGAAACAGGATCAACCACTGCATTTCTATGAACAAAATAGTTGCGGCATTACATTGATCAATTGATTAAATGATTCAGTGACTCATTCATAAATACAGTCGTTTGTCGCCACCTACTGGCTGAGAGATGTAACCTGCAAGTATCAATGACAGTCAGTCCCCACCAATCAGAACTCTTGGAAAACAGCTCGGCCAATGGAATTCGAGGAGGGAACTGCTGTGTAATTTGTTATATTTCTATTTTTATTTATTTTATTTATTTAGTCATTTATCAGACGCTTTTATCATTTTATCCAAATGAGGACAACAGAAGCAATCAATTGTAGTATTAAAACAACTAAAAACAGATCCAAAACTAAAAGCTAAAAACTTTATAAATACTACCTATACACATTTTAAAAATAAAGAGATTAAATAAAAATGACAAATGCATACAACAGAATTTCAAAACTTAACATTTAATTGAAAAACAAAAAATAAAGCTAAAAACCATTCAAAATATTAAAGAACAAAAGGTAAAAGAGTATAATAATGATTCTAACATAACACTAAGCCAAAAAAAAAAAGTTCATATGTGTATGTACAACCACACACACATACACATATACATATATATATATATATATATATACATACACATTTATAAATTCAATATATATATTATTTAATTTCCATTTAGTTTGTTGAAGTATTAAAATAACTCAAATTAAATCAAACTAAAAACTTAATAAAAGACCTATACAGACATAATAAATTCAGACATAATTTAACTAAAATTAAAATAAATAACAAATACAAATAATACAAATCAAATGACAGTATATAATGACTTATATGATATAAGAAGCATGACTAACATATCAGGTACCGTGTAGTATTTAGCTGGAACTCCAAGGTATTTAAATTTATACCTTGGTTGTACCATCTAAAAACAGTATTATCATGGTAGGTCCCTCTGTAACTTCTGAAAGTGAAATATTGGGTATTTATGAAGACATGCAAGCATGTGTCTGTGACAGTAATGAAGTGTGTCAGTCTCTTGAGCGGTACAGAGAGTTAAAGTCCTCCTCAGACATTCCTATGCAGTGACACCTCTGCAGCAGTTATATTGTGCTGGCTCCGCTGCAGTCTGCTACTGCTGACTGAGAATGAATGACTGAGTCCAATTTAAACGCAACTTTGTTTACGGTTGCTGCGGGACTCTGCAAACTTAACAGTCAATTTCTGAAACCAGGATGAAGTTTCAGTCAGTTTCGCGTGAGGCGGTTTACTGGTGTGACTTGCTGCAACGGTGAGTTGTTTCTCCTGTCCTTGGCACGTGTTTATGTTACGTTTGTAGTGTTAAATCTTGTGTTTATCTGAATTGACTACAGTTGAGCGTCAAAACGACGTGTTAGTTGATAAATTGCGTTGTGGGATTACAACAGTCGGAAATGAATGAAAGAAATAGGCTACAGTGTCTTGCTACTCGCGTGCATTCATTCACCTCAGTTGTTTTTATTTCGTGTATATACTGTGGTATAATATTTAGTTTATAGATGGTACTATCATGAATACCATTGTATTGCTATAGTCTGTACCTGTTTTGCTTGTAAAATCTTCTCCGTGTTTAGGCAGGTGTTAAAGGTTTGACTGTGACAGCGGATGTTTCTATTAAAGACATTTGGTGATGTTTTTGAATCGTGTGTGACATCACGATGATGATCAATTTTTTAAATTGCATGTATGTGAGGAAATATTTCAGCAAAAGGCACGTTCTCCCAAAAGCACAGTGAGACATTTTTCTGTCCCCCCCTTTTCTGCCTCTACAGGCTCCCCCAAGTCTAGTTTGGTGAAGTCAGCTTCTAATGGAAATCCTATGTTGCTCTAGTAAAGTGCTGTGACTGAGCTGACCAGCTCTGTAACCTGATCTTGCACGAGTGATCCTGGGATTTGAGCTCTTTAGGCTGTAACTCATACAATCCATTTTCATTTACCAGCCTGGAAAATGTGAATAGATGGAAAACTCGTCTGCTTCACTTCACATGCCACATTGTTTTTATGAGAACTCGGTGGAGAAAGACTTTGAGGATCAGAAGGGAACTTTTGCTTGGCTGTAAACAAGCCTGTAATCATAGACCTTTGATCAGTTATGACAATACTCAGTATATGACACAATTCTAAGAATTTGAATTTTTTTTGGCATAAAATGCTATGGGTGTGAGTAATCAGAACAGACTGTTTTATGTGTTGTGAGCTTCGTGTTGCTAAACAAGAATGTCTGTCTGAAGACATTACACACCCACAAATGATCAAGATAATTGGACTGTACATTTATTATATCAAACACTTGTTGATTTAGTGTCAACAAGTGTCTTTCCAAGTGTTTAGACATGCCTGCAGTGATCTGTGGATTTCTTTGATTTCTTTTTTTTTTTTTTTTTTACAAATTTCACCCTAAAAGATAAATACATAAAATAATATAAAAAATAAATTTAAACAAGGTGTGAGTAATCAGAACAGACTGTTTTATGTGTTGTGAGCTTCGTGTTGCTAAACAAGAATGTCTGTCTGAAGACATTACACACCCACAAATGATCAAGATAATTGGACTGTACATTTATTATATCAAACACTTGTTGATTTAGTGTCAACAAGTGTCTTTCCAAGTGTTTAGACATGCCTGCAGTGATCTGTGGATTTTTTTGATTTTTTTTTTTTTTTTTTTTTTACAAATTGTCAGCTTGAATCTGTATCTGTGTCTGTAATTAGCTTGTATCAGCTTGTGTCTGTTTTGCCGCTGCTTGTTTAGGGCTTATATAATTTTTATTAGTGTGTCATCTTTTCATTGAGGCCTCAAGGAAAGCAGTCAAAGACTTTTATTTTAGCATTATTTACATACTATTATAGTATTTATTCATATTTTGAATTAGCGTATATATTTTTTAATGTTTATATTTTAATTTAAAGTTTAGTCATTTTTAATATTTCTACTTGGCTTTCATTTATTTAAATTATTTTTATTTTATTTATTTTATGTTATTCTTAGTCATTGTGGTGCATTAACTTGTACTTATTTCATATGTCTGCAAGGGCCACATTTCTAATTTTCATTTGACAGTTTTTAAGTTCAATTTGTACATCTAATAGGCTATTTATTTTTTATTTTAGCTTCATTTCATTTTATGAAAACAGTTTTTAAAGTTTTGGTTCTAGATAAAGGCTAGAATAGCCTACACTACATGTAGCCCAAATTATTTCCCCGATTTACAGTCTGGATGAGTCAGTGCTAGTTGCCAAAATTCACAGTAGCCCCTCACTGCAGAACACAAGATCCAGGGGGCAGGGTTGGATCCACATCTAGGGGGTGGAGATTGGTAGGTTTAGGGATCAGAGGGTGGAGACGGGTAGGTTTAGGTATACGTAAGGTGGGAGGAAGTTGGATCTGGATCTAACCACGCCCCCTGGATCTTGTGTTCTGCAGTGAGGACCATCTCAAAATTCATGGCCAGTCTACAGATTTTTGGAAGTCAGAGTTGACCGATTTCACATAAAATTATATCCTGTATGATGGATCAGATTTTTTTAGCTTCAGATTATGAATTCGTTTAGTCATTGATATCAACTATGTTTGATATTTTGAGCCAATTTTAGAACACATACATATGTTGTCATGCATTTCCTATTAGCGAGGCACATGCTCCGTGTGAGTTTGTTTGTGTTCAGAATGACTTGGAAGTCTGGTAGTGTGTGATCCTCAGTCTATAGTGTACAATGCCCAGTTTTTCTCCGTAACCATTCACAAAGTCGCCAAATGTATGATGCCTAATGTTTTAAAATATGAACCGATTTCAAAACATTAGGTGTCATACACTTGCCAACTTTGTAAACTTGCCTTTGTACACTTGCCGACTTTGTTCCAGCCTTAACTGCAGTAACATTGGTCAGTCAGAGATCAACAACAATTAACTTAGTTCCATTTATGTTGGCTGTTAGCTTAGATTACCTTAATCTGAATTGATCCTGCATGTATGTTGTCGTTGATGGCATTGCTTACCCGTCCCGCACATAAACTTTGTTTTATTGAGATGAACTGTTCCAAGTCTGGATGAGGCTTTGCTCCAGTAGCTGCCTGTTGCACGGGAACAGAATCAAGCTAGCACAGATAATTTGTTTGTGCTGGCTTCAGAAAAGAAGGGGAGAAAGGAGGGGGTGCGGAGGTGGATTTGGGGAGGTGGGAATTCCCGTAATTTCCAAACATTACAATGGCCTCATGCCTCAACAGACATTCATCCCCACCCTCCTTTCTGGAGGCACGATATGCTGCCTCTTTATTGCTACAGTTCATAGTTTAGATAAGTAAGAGGTGTCTTTGACAAGTTCAGGTATTTAGGGCACAAATGCATGTAACACCCACTGCAGGCAGGCTGACATAATCAGATACGTCAGTCGTTGGCACATGACCATGACATCAATAAGGATAACAGGAAATGACCATGACAGATTGGATGCAATCCTCATAATGTAACATATACAAATAAAGGCTTGCAGTACTTCTAGGCTTTAACAATTTTTAGAAGAACTATAATTAGTTGTGTTTGCTAAGAGAAGCATCACTATCACCGTTACGTATTAAACCCCTTTTTGACCAGTATGCAACCCGAACACCCATCAGCCGCTTAACAACTGGCCAGAATGTGAAATAAAAAAAACAACATTTTTTTCCATCACTTCATAGTCAGGCTACCTCATGAAGTCATGTGAATATATGACATATATTCATAGAGACAAGGGTGTGTCTGGTTTATCTGTTATGTGATCTCATTCCACAGCAGGCAGGAATGCATATGTTAGGTGCTTTAGTAATGTTGGAGAATGTATTCTGGGTGCAGATAAAGACAAAACATGTTAAGTGGCTTCTGATACAATAGCAGTACTCATCTTCTGTCCCAAACACAGGTATTGTTTAACTCATTCCAAATCAGACGATAGTTCTGAATGGAAAACAAAAGAAAGGGATAACATTATTCACACATATTATTTATTTCGGCTAAAGCTATGAAAATTAGAGCTGCACAATTCTGGATAAATTGAGAATCAGGATTCTCCCACGATTCTGAACTAAACAAAATAATGTATGACAAAATATTAATTGCTGCAGTCTATTTAAAAGTGTTAAATTAAAGGTAAGTTTACCCCAAAATGAAAATTATGTCATTAATTATTCACCCTTATGTCGTTCCAAACCCGTAAGACTTTCGTTCATCTTCGGAACACAAATTAAGATATTTTTGATGAAATCTGAGAGCTCTGGCCGTCCCATAGACAGCAACGCAACTGTAATGTTCCCAGGTCCAGAAACATAGCAAGAACATCAGTAAAACAGTCCATGTGACATCAGTGGCTCAACTTCAATTTTGTGAAGCTACGAGAATACTTTTTTGTGCTCAAAGAAAAGAAAAAAACACACTTTATTCAACAGTTCTTCTCCCCGAGTTACCCTCTTCCGCCATTTTGGGGAGTACGCAATTTCATTTGCTTGCTGTCTATGCAGGGTCAGAGAGCTTTCAGATTTCATCAAAAATATCTTAATTTGTGTTCCGAAGATTCGGGTTTGAAACGACATAAGGGTGAGTGATTTTTGGGTGAACTAACCATTTAATTTGAATTATTAAACATTTTAATATATATATAAATATTTACACGATGCAATCGATCGACACAAACGTTATTTGAAGCGCCAGTTACTTTCAAAAGACGACTTGCTCTATTTTGATACCATAGACATCAATGTTTATATCCGAACTATAAACTTTTATCCCAGTATTTCTGTGAAAATATGAATGACTGTAAGACAGAAATAATACTGTGTAGTTGAAAAGACTGTTTGTGAAGCTGTTTCTTACTTAAACATGGTAACTGTCTGCTCTCTTTGTCACCGGCAGCGCGAACGCTGATTCGAATGTTCCAGTATGATTTTTTCAAAGGTTTAATAGACACAGGTGAATCGTTGCCAGAAATTAGATCACGTGGTTGTTTGAATCGAGATTGTGATCTTTTAACAATTACTCGTGCAGCTCTAATGAAAATGCATTTGCTTTCAGATTTAAAAATGGTTTGATGACGACTGTTTATTGGCAAATGCCACTTGCATGTCTCATGAGTAAATAATGACCGAATTTTCTATTTAGGTGAACTGTTCCCTAATTTTAGGTGTATAAATCTATGGACATGAATGACACCACAAATCATGAATCTTCTTGCGGAGAGTGTGCTATTACTTTTCTAAGTGATTTAGCGTACGAGTTCCCCGGCAGATGATAAAACAGGAACAGAAATCCTATAAGCTTGTTTCGAAGGAGGTGCCAGAGCCAGAACATTCTAGCAACACCCTAGCAACCACCCAGAACATTTGATCTAATAACCGCTTAAAGGAACACTCCACTATTTTTGAAAATAGGCTCATTTTCCAACTCCCCTAGAGTTAAACAGTTGAGTATTACCGCTTTCGAATCCATTCAGCTGATCATGGTACGGCAGCAAAGTTCCTTGATTATTACGCCGGAATGAGAGTATAGTTCCTAGCCATATCGGTCTAGAAAATCGCAACTTTTCATTTTCTGTCGGTCTTAGTACACGATGTAACTACAGAAGAATAAAGTTTTAAATAGGAAAAATATAGAAACTCTTTGGTCATTTTTGAGCGAGATGCTAACGGTCTAATCAGATTCAATGATCTATGCTAAGCTACAGCTAAAAGTGCTACGCCAGACCCGGAGATCGGCTTTATGGATTCGAAAACGGTAAAACTCAACTGTTTAACTCTAGGGGAGTTGGAAAATGAGCCTATTTTCAAAAATAGTGGAGTGTTCCTTTAAAACACCTTAGCAATACCCTTGGATCCACCAATCACATCCCTTATTTTAAGCAGTGGCCAATGTAATAGTTGCTCAGTTTTGCACCACTTTTTTTCCACCACCACTTTTTTTTAAGAAAATATAAAAATGTAGTGTTTGTAGAAAGTCAGCGTTGATTGTTTTATTCAGCCTGAGAAATACATTGTCCCTACACAATATTAGCATTGTTATAGTGTCTTTGACACTCTTCCCTTTCACCAAGCCCATGTCTGATTACAATCACTCAAGTGCTGAGTTATGAAAGAAGAACTCCTCACTGTGCTAGCGCAGTGATTTATTGTTGACTGTGTGGGTGTGGGAACTGAGCCATGTTTGAAGACTGACTGGCTGAATTCACCCTGAATCAATTCAGCGAATGCCCCCCTTTAATCTCATTCGTCCGACCCCCTCTAAGCGAGGCTTTACATTCCAGAGACCCGTGCGTTTTGTATAGGACTGGGGGGGCTGTGAGATTTTGGACAGCTGTGTGATTTCCTGAGAGGGAGATATTATTGAGTGGATGTGAATGTTCATTTCGTGCTGTCAAAATGTACATCCTGTCCTTGAAATATTTCTTCAGTGTTTTAAACATTCGGTTGTGGGTGAAGTGCAGTTTTAACAACTTTCCCAGATAGCACCTAGTAAGACACAAAACAGCTTGGCTCTGATAAGGATTGAGAAATTTTCTAGCCTTGCCCAGGCCAAGTAAAACCAGTGTGTTGAGTTACAGTATGTTTATGTTCTTGCTCTTGCATTGTCATATTTCTTCATTCATTCTGAAAACATTTTCAGGTCACTTAAAATACTGCGTGGCAAGAGATGTTGTTTATTGAAATTGTTTATTTATTTTTTTGTTGCTTCCTCTCTCGTCTAGAGTTCTGAGGCCCTGAGGTCTTGGGAGAAGAGGGTAAATTTGGGAGGGGTGAAAAAACTGAGAAGACGCAGCCGTCACTTTCTATGGCAGTCATCCTGAAGCTTCCACTTTAGACAGACCCGTTCTCTGATCCCAAGGCCATCATCTTAGGAGTAGTTTGCCAGAAGCTTGTCCTCGGTGTAAGTTGAGCAAGGAGGATCTGTCAACAGGTGCCTAGTGATATGAGGGTTCGTGTGGCGAAACAGGTGCATATTGACTTCATGAGCTCCATGGCCTCCGACAGGGCCTCCGCTGTGCTGGGAGTGAAGAGCCTCGGTAAGGAGACTTCGGCGAATAATGGAGATGCTCTCATATCCGTGAACTACGGCTTGCCTGAGAACGAATCCCCTCGGTTTTCATTCGAGACTTCAGAGGGGGACTCACCATGCACAAAGTGCAGAATGCGGAAGTCTTTGGATACTAGGTCTAGAAGTTTGGATTGCTTAGACGAGACTTACAGGTCCAAAAGCTGCAGCTGTGGGGCTGCAAGGCACGGGGAGGAAGGGTTGTACGTGTGCCAGATGTGTGGGTTTTGCGATCCAGTGGAAAGCGAAGAAGGCTGCCCGGAGAATAGCTTTCCTCCTAGAAGCTGGGGAACGGTGCCCCAGCAGATGAAAGCAGAAGGGTTTTCTTCTGATGTTACTTGCCTTGCTGGAGAGCGGCCAACATTGAGTGGCTCGGATGACGAACTGTGCCAGATGGAACTCGTAATCGGCCAAAACATGGAGAGCCTGCCGTTCTGCGGGCTGGATTTGAGGCGAAACAGTGTGCCTGTATCCTCACCACAAGGGCCTCAATGCACCAATGGCTGCGGCACTGCCGTGAATAACAAAATGCGTGACAGAACGGACTTTGTATGTGCCGTGTGCCATAAAAATGGCTTCTCTAGTTTGGAAAGGCTCAACAGGAAAAGCAAACCCATGTGCTCTCAGGGCAGATGCCTTAAGAGGTCCACGCCATTCAGGTTGTCTGTACCTGACTGTAGTGACAGCGAGGGCTCTGTGTCCGATAGCGAGTTTGTGCATAACAAGAAAGAGCGCTCTACTGTCCTGGTCAGGAGGTACCTCAAGAACAACCAGAAGATCAAAAAGACAGTGTGCACCGGCACCAGAGCTATAGTGAGGACTCTACCCACCGGCTGCATCTCTGACAGGGTCTGGGAGTCTGTTTGTGGGAAAACATGCCACCTTGGTGATGAGGCGAGAGGATACAGCAGAGCTCTTCAGGCCATCCAGCTGCAGGTTTCCAGGGCCCTTCTCACATACCCAGGGGTCAGGTTTGCCGAGGTAAGGTCAATTTCTCTTCTCACGGTATGAATGCTTCCTTTATGAACTGCTGGTTATTCAGGTGTTACGTTAAAGCTCTATGAATGTGCTTCTCTCACAGTTGGTGCCACAGTTCCTGCACTGAATGTTTGTGTTGTATCTCATGTTTTGAAATAAGAATTAACCCTGCATTCTTAGCTTGATTCTTGGGTGCATAATTAGTGGTTCTTGCTATTGCAATTGCTCATACTGTATGTATAGTTCTGCAATCTTTCTGCATGTTCAAAACCCCTAACTATTAAACCATTTGTGCTACAGGCATGAATAATACCTCAAATCATGTGGCTTGTTGAGGAGAGTTATGATATTGCTATTACCAAGTGATGAGGCTTGTGTTTTTTCCTGGCTGACTTAACCGAATAAAAAAGTACCCTAGACTCAAGAAGGGACACTTGTAAAGTGTTTGGGTTGTTTGCTAGGTGCATATCTATGCAGCCATCTAGCAAACAACATGAACACTCAATGCCCTAGACACTACCCAGAACACTCTAATTATGTGCTATTGAAGTGTTCTAGGTGGTTTTTGCTGCAATACCACATAAAGCATTACAGCTGCCCTTCAAACAAATCCTTAAAAAAATGCATTTCAAATCCTGCCATTGTTTTATAAATTACCTACATCTATCATTTCTGATATGAGACATGTACTGAAAGAAACAAACTTAAATTTAAGAATGAAATTAAGTCAGATCTACTTAACTAAGTTTAATGTAAAATTAACAAAGAGAATAAGTAAATTTAACTTGGCCAGTGATAGTTTGAGCAATTTCTACTTAATAATTTGAAGTTTACTCTGCAATACTCAAGTTCATTTTACTAAATCTTTTTTGTACTAAACTTTACTCTATAACAGTGTCGCACTGAAAAAGCCATGCTATTAAAGCATTTTTTTCACTTAGAAACATCTAAGTAAACTAGGTAGTAGACAGCTAGTTACACTTTCTAAGATATGTCTACAGAATATATTGAACCCCAGATGTCGCAAAACAGCAAGTTACTAAACCTTCAAACTTTAATTTCTACAAGCTTGAATTGAGTAATGATATAGAATGTACTCTTTTTTTTTTTTTTTTCCCCCTGAACTAAATTATTTAATGTAGAAATTACATTTGTTTTTCCATAGTATTTACTTCACCGCAGAATAATTGTTATCAGTGTGGGATAATCATGGAACAGAGGTTTTAAAGGCTACAACAGGATCTGCATGTTCATGGGTTTAAATGTAAAACTTACATTATTTTGAAATTAGTTTATTCCATTACTACATTTTATTGAAACTTGCCATTTGTTAACTAAGCCTAACCTAGTTTCTGCTAATGGAAAACAGGAAATTACTGTTGATTTTTGACATGATGTGGAACATCCCAGACGTCTTTATTATCTGTCAGCCTTTTGTTCATATTCCTTGGTTTCTATATTATATAACTTGTTTGCTGTTGTACATTTCAGACTTCTTTTCCAATTTTTATTTTCAGTGAATTCAACTAGACCATGAAATATTTAATACAATGTGTCATTTATTTTTTACTCATTTAGCGGATGCTTTTATCCACAGTAAATTACAAATGAGAAATAGCACAACCAATTTATTGTACAGGGTAATGATATTAGCAGTGCTGCAATACCAAATTGCAAGAGTAAACCGCAGTGAAGCATTTTTTCATGGCAATTCTGTCATTTTTCGTGGTAATTGAAATGGTTCCAGTCTATTTAACAAATGGACACCGGCCAGCACTTAATTTTGCCCGTAATTTGATGAATTACGGGCAAAATAGGAGGAGATCTTTCTTTCCAAGGAAATTCCTTATCCTGGAGCTCACAAAGCTCAAGTTGGTGCAAGATACAGAAACATTTCAGCTTGAGGTTTTTCTGACAGATGATTTAGTGGGCGACTGCTGTCTGTTTAAGCAGAACTTCAGATCTATTATGCAGCATATTATGCCTGCGCTTAGGCAGACGTTTTACTAGTAGACTTGTAAAAAGCACTGCTTGTTGTGTTAAGGGCCGTTCCAGTGCTGTCTGGTTTCTCCCGCTGGCTGGGACAGTGGAACCCTCTGTTTCAGAGCGTGCAGCGGTTCTCGCTATACACTAGCTTAAGACATTAAGACTTTATTGCCCCTTTGAGGCACTAAACCCCTGCCTCCTTCACCTTTTTATTCATTTCTTATAGGTGCAAAATGAGTTCACTGAGTCTAAGCATGTAGAAATACGTGTGCTGTAGTCATTGCTACTCCAGAAACCAAACCATTTTGTGTTCCACTGATCTGTTATCGGTGTATTGCTTTGGACCCACGTGTGCTGTAGTCATTGCTACTCCAGAAACCAAACCGTTTTGTGTTCCACTGATCTGTTATCGGTGTATTGCTTTGGACCCACAATATCAGTCTCAACGGCAATGTGGTTTTAGACTGAACCACGGTGGAGAGTGGCCCAGCATTGTCTGATATTAGAAAAAAGGAAGGGTTAAAAAGAGGAAAAGTGGATAGAGAAAGCCAGCCTGATTCTCTTTTGGTGGTTCAATAATATTGCATCAGGATTCTCTAGAGAACTGAAGTCTAATATGGAAAGCGCATACACATCCCTGAGGACTTATGCTGGTGGTGACATGAAGCACGTCCTGTGGTTTCATTACGCCATAATTTATGGATTGCTTTATTAGGCCACTCTTTTAATAACACTGTCTTTAGTGTTAGTGATGTTATTTTATTGTCCAGATTTGAATATGAATTGGCATTTGAAGTACTTTGGAACTTTGTGTTTTGTATTCTGGTGTAAGTCATTTTTTACATGTCAGCTATATATAGATATATACACACTATAGTAATTTTGAGGGATGAAATGAGGGCTTGTTTGCGCAATTGCATATTTCTTTCAGTTTTTTTTTTAAATTTCTTGATGTTAGGTTTGTAATTGCTTTATCTGCAGATTTTCCCATTCTCTGGCTGCCACAGAGAATGACGGGAAATATACTTTTGTTGCGCAAGCCTGTCACCTCATAAATGGGTTAAAGGAGCAGTATTTCATTGGAAAGCTTTATAGCGCTTCTTTATGAACAGTACACAAAATACATACAAACAAATTGTACCGCCACAATGAACATGTAATTATGACCACTTACAAAGCCAGGACTCAAAGTTTTAAAAAACCTGCAACTCTTCATCTTCAGATGTGAGACTGCTGGGGTCAAGCGGCGAGCATGTAATTCAGAAAGTTTCCCATGTGATATTTGCCTGTCCATCTGGACTTTAAAAGAAATGACAGACTGCTCCTTCTAATTAAGCTGAGCTTGTTCTTTTAATGTGTTCTTAAGCTTTTACTGGTGTTTGCGCACGGCCTCAAATGTTGACACTTGAGCAAAGAGCTTCCCACTCAGGAGTGTGTTTTTAAGGCAGGCCTTTACATGGCATCCAAGAGGCATCTGCTAATCGTCTCCGTTTGTGATTATAGCAGCAGTAGGGAGGAAGTGCAGAGTTGAAACTCTGACCTCCCCTGGCCTTGACCCCTTCTCTCGATGGACACCACAGAGGAGTCAGACAAGCTTATGAGATTGCAAGTAGGGGACAGTAACCACAGTGTTGTTTGTGGTTTATACGACAGCCATGAGATTATACATGGCTTGTGCTTGTTTTTCATATGAATGTTTAAATGGCCCCTACAAAAGAAAGAAAGTCGTACGGGTTTAGAATGACCAGAAAATAAAAACAGATTTTCACTTTGCATGAACTATTCATTAAAAATGATGTTTGGGTTGGTGTGAAACGAGAGAATATGTTGAAAATGGAATTTACTACAGCCCTCTGTGGTATTAAAGGAAATGCGCCACATCGGGGTTGCCTGCCCCGCCACAGGAAGATAAACACTGCCTTGTGATTGGCTGATTAGCACCTGATGGAATGAACAGCAGGGCCAGAGATCTTTTATTTATTATTATTATAATTATGCAATTCAATTAAAGTATAGCGCTTTTCACAATACAAATCGTTGCGAAGCAGCTTTACAGAAAATTGTAAGTTTCTAATCTGAATGATCTTCTCTTGATAATCTTTAACCAGTTCGTTTGTCTACAAGGACACTAAAATCAGACTTCCCAGTGCTTATGTTACACAAGGCTGTGAAATTACAATTTATGAGAGCACATTTACTTATTGCCTCGCTCTGCTTGCTTAGCTGTAAAGCTGCATTTGCATTACAGTGTCATAAAAGAAAAAAAAAACAGCATTCGGTCATGTTGGACGGATATGCCATTGGAAAAAAATAGCTTATTGCTGGTAAAAGGCCTCTATGAATCAAAACAATGGAGCTGTCATCATGTAGTAAGTGTTGCTACTTTTTCCCCCCAGATATAAAAAAACCCACGATGATATGGTTAACAAACAAGTGACAAAATGATACACCTCGACTCATTCCTCTCATTCTTGGCAAAGCAAACCAGCCTCATAGTTATTTCTCTCATAGACAGAAACCACCTAGAGAGTCTCGCAATTCACAGCCCAAACCACATCATATCCTGACTCAGACCTTGGAGAGACTGGCAGGTAGTGATAAGACCTGTCTAACTCTCACTAGCACACTGATGTCAGTGAGCAGAGCGGCCATCTACACGCCAAACAAAACACAGGACGAGGCTAGGGGGAGGGGCACGGTGGCCATGATACCGCACACAAAGTGCCTTGTGTTTCTGAGAACTCAGGACACACAATGAGCCATTTAGAGGAGTTTCTTCTACACTTCATTCTCATAAAATCAAGGGCTGCAAAGCGGGTGTTCGTGAACACTCTTCTGAAACCTAAATTGACAAATTTGACACTATACGGTCTCATGGACTTCACACACAGCGACCATATCAAAGCTGCAAGTTCATATCAACTGCACTATTTAATACAGGTCAATATTTACTCAAAATTCTTAGGAACCTCAATCGCTCAGTTGTAGAACCGTTATCAGCCAATGCGGATAATCAG